ATGGATGTTACCTAAAGTTCAGACTTTAACTTAAAATGTACAGTTTGTTATTTTATTTTAGTGTGATTGGGTCTTGTTGAGATCAAGGTGGTAAAAAATGCATAGCCATAAAGTTCACTTACTAGTACTAAAGTCACTCTCTACCAGTTATCCATTTGTTAGAACAAATACATCAACTGATTTGCATATGCTTTGCTCTCCAAAGTATACAAACCCTCAACAATACCACCTGTCTGTTCTAAAGGAAAGGGGGAAAACATATCCCCTAGCTAGGGTTTTGGTCCTTTCGGTTCTGTATCTTTTTTCTCTCATCTTAGCAACAGTACATAGAGCAGCCAATCAAGATTCACTTCCTCTAGCTTGAGCATCACAGTCTGAGGTTACTATAGTGCATTGACCGACAGTAACCGCAAGAGGAAAAGAGAAGCAGCTCATGCGGCACCTCTACTGCAGTGCACCTGCTGGGATGAGGACAGGCTTTTTCCAACTCCTCTAGGAGGGATTAGCAAATAATTTAGGGCAAATCCTATTTTTGATCATTTAGATATGAAAATGTCTTGAAGAAGGTGAAATCTTTGTGGGGTGGGGGATGGAGCTTACACAAACAAACCCAAACACAACAAAATGTTTTGTTCCAATAAATACATCTGGAAGAATCTGTAGCAGTACATCAGGAAAGGATTAGAGAAACCCAGCCCATTTCAATCTGTTTTGGCATTCTGACAGTTGGTTAAGTTTCCATCTTCTTATTTAAAGAATTACATTTTCATCTTCTAGCTGAAAGGTAGGCATCTACAAGCTGTAATGACATCATCTCAGACTGGGAAGAGCATTTTGTTTTTAATGAATAAGCATCAGCCTGCCCAAAATTCTGCATTTACTTCAGGCACCCTGGGCCAAATTTAATTAAGCTGGCCCCTTGTCTAGAAGGTGCTCACATATGCAGGAAGAGGGATTTCTGTCTTGCTTGATCTCAAGATTATCAAGCAGTCTACAGTCTTGCAAGAATAGCAAATTAATCTTTTTATTTTACAGGGATTAAAATAAAAACAAGTTGCATTTCATGTACAGCATGGATTTCTTTATTGCCATTAAATCAACTCAATAAAAATGAAGTATTTAGAAAGATTACATTTTGACTGGCCGCAATTAATTTCTTAAGAGGTTACTAAAGATCAAACTCTACCAGAACCTGAATTCTAACTTGGTACAAATGGTTTGTTACAGTACCCAAAACAATGATGTAGAAAGGTTTACAAGTGAAATGTTGCCCAATTACCCACAAATACTGACAAAATATTGAAAAAAATAAAAACCAATTTGCCATTGTGCTCTGAGAGGCAGGTTGACAGTATTTTCTTTATGGATGTACTCATAGGAATGGCATTTCCATGAGCTCCTAAGTTATAGCAAAGGCATCTAGAAACATATGGATGGTTGGCTCTTCTAGTACAAATACAGATACAAATTGGATATGGCCATAGGGCGATTCAAGCCTCTTGCTACAGCTCCAGAGGCCCAAGTCCAAGTGTCACTCTAGACTAGACTCTGGCTGAAGGCTGCCCCAAATCAATGCAGTTATAAACAATACCTAGTCATTCAGACCTAAAAGTCACTCCCTCATATGCTGTTGCCTAGGAAAACTGGTGTGGCTTCACCACACCAACTTGATGGGCTGTTTGGTTCAGATACATCTTTGAATTCTTCAACACAGAGTAAAGGCATGCAAGTTTTCTGCATCCTTTTTGTGGATGTTTTGAGATCCACTGCCCACATGCCCCTGTGATGAGCACAGGTTCATTGGGCAGGGTCATACAAGCAGAGGATCATGGCTCTGTCCTAGCTCTGGCCCTGCGCTGTCACCACCACAAGATCCTGGCCCAGGCCCCAGATGCAGCTCCCCACCCAGCTGTGTGCCCTGCAAGTGCCGCTTGGGCCAGTCTCCATGAAGACCCTGGGAGCACGAGGCCATGATGGCCCTGTACTGTCATAGCCCCACTGCTCCTGGGATGTTCATGGAAACTGGCCGGAGCAGCACAGGCAGGGGCTGTTGGGAAATGGAGTCCAGCCAACAGCCAGACCCCTGGTCTAGAACAAGGATGGCATAGGCAGCTTTTCTGTGGCAGACAGCAAATTGGGGGGTACATCCAGCACAGCAGCAAACAGAGCAGAAAGCAAACCAGCAGAGCATGCAAGGAGCATGGGTAGGAAGCAGAAAGCAGAGCAAAAAAACCCCAAAAAACTCACACAGAGGAAGTGGATCCAAATGCCACTCAGGGAAGGTGCAAGGCTAATTTGTGGCACACCTGCCTAAAATGCTGGCCCCCCACTAGTCTAGAAGGTTTTAATGCTCTGGCTGATACCTAACTAGCAGAATAAACTTTGACACCATTGGCAGCTGGAATAGTTTACAGTTCTTCTGAGGCTGCTCCAAGTTATACCAGGGAAGGAATCTGTCCAGCAACTGGTCTATGCATACGTCTATGTGTTTACAAGATGGGGGCCTATGTTCTAATGTTTCCTCAAACCAAGCATTTCTAGGTAATTAAAACGTGGTCCATTACCCAGTTTGTTGTAACAGTTAAGTAGACTTCTCAGAAACTAGCAGTAGATATTGTTAAGCAATTAAGGGAAAGCTTTAAAAAATGGATGTAGTCAGAGATGTGTAGATTAAGTCAAAATATAAATAAAATGTCAGTGACAGCTTTTTGGAAACAATGAAAAGGACACACCCGTGCCAATTTTTGCTACTAGAAACCATTCCTTGAAGAGTAATTACTTCTTTTAAGTACATGAAGCTCTCCCTAAGAACTTAATATTTTCTCCTGGGCATATTGACTTTCATAAGGATTTCCTCCTGGGAATCTATAACTCTACTTGCTCTTCCCCTCCAGAGAGACTGCTAATATGAAAACTACCAAACTGCTCTAGAAAATGCAGCACAGTTCTTCCTCCTCTGCCTTGTGTATCCCTGTACAAAATAAATGCAGAATAGATGGACAGTGGTACTGGATTTAATTGCATATTACACCCACATCTAAGATTAAAAGGCCTTAACAATAAAAAGCTATACAGAGTTAGGTCCATTATGACTCAATTTCTCTCAATCCATGAAATGGGTTTAATATATTTACCTACCACCAAAGATTATGATTGGGACTCAATAAGCTGTTTTTGTTTGTTTGCTGGTTTGTTTTGAGTTGTTTGTTCTTTTTCTTGGGAGGGGGCAGGGTTAAGCAATACTTTGATTAAGCAAAGCAACGTATGGATATTGATTTAAGGTAAAATCCTGGTGCCATTTACTTATGTAGAGTAAACAAAGTTACTCATACAAGTAAGTATTTACAAAATTGTACCTAAAAAACGAGAATCCTCACAGACTTCCATAGGGTTCTGAGGTTAAGTTCTTAGGAAATGTAAATGCTGCAACACTATCCACTTCCCACTACTATTTCTAAAGTTTTTGCAAATACTATTTCCTCCCAAAGGAGCCCCACCAAATTGATGGTGTTTTTACTAGATAATTGCCAACAACTAAAAAAAACCATCTAAAAATCAGGGGGGAACAAAGAGAATTAGCTATACATTACTATCATTTTTATCCGTTTTGTTCCATTTCACTGCCTCCCATATCCTAAAAAAATTAGGAAGACTTTTAACAATAGAAAATCATGCCTGCTATGACAATACTTTTGAGCCAAATTCTCACTGGATTAACAAGAATACAAGATATTCAGATGCAATGTTTACATTCTATAGTTCACTAGAAAACAATATTCCTGAAGCAATATAGCGTACCATTCAATTGTGTTGGGACCCAGCTCTATAGCCACTCCTCATTCAAGACTTGTCTGGAGGTAAATGGGTGTGTCACAGGGAGGGTGTTCCCATTATTGGGCCACATTAAAATTATTGGTACAATGGATTTAAAGAAATGGGAGTTACAGATACTCAATATGGACTTCACACAGAGTTATGGGTACTTGGTACTTCAGAAAAAGAATCCTATATCAGATGGAATCTTTGCCTCACTGAAGTCATGGGAGTCTCGCTGTTCACTTGATCAGAGCCACGAGCCTGTTAAGGCCTGCCTGCCTGGCTGAGTCAGTGGGATTTGTGACTTTCCGTCTTCACTTTGGGCACAGAAGTCTCTTGTTCAGTGGCAGAGGCAGACTGATTCACAGAGTGTGTCAGGAGATTTACTCTGTGTTCCCAGCACTGCTATAGATTCATTATTTGACCTTGGATCAAAAGTGCCAAGTATTATTGTTTTGGCTACTTCCAGGGAGTGCTTGTTTTGTACCAAAGTGAAAATCCCTTATTTTAAGTCTGTTTATATCTATCATTACAGCTAAACTTCTTCAGATACTAGAACTGATTTGTTAGGCTTACAACAGTTCAAAATGGGACTGTTATGTGGGTAGCCCTAGGAGAGATGGTACATCTGCAGGCACAATCCTGTCCCTGCTCAGCAAGAGAGCTGTAGGAGGAATGCTGCAATATCTTTGGATGGGAAAGCCTGTACTCCCCCCTATGCCAGGGAGTAGAGAAGTTCTTCCCTGCCCAACTTTGAGGCAATCTGCACACTCAGCCACAGTATGGGGAAGCCATGTCTCTGCTCCCTCCAAATCAGGATAGCTATTGTGCCTGGTCCATCAACAGAAGGAAAGAAGACAGTAGTGAGAAAGGTTCCTTGAGTCTTCCAATCTCTACCTGCCCATGTTAAAGTTAAGCACAACTATAAATTAACAACGACTGCAGACCACACTAGTATAAAGAGATCTATTTCCATGCTCTTAGGGATTTCTTCTACCCAACAGAAAACTTCAAAACTCAATTCAAGTTAGGCTGAGTGCCCCAGCCAACAAGACACAGGATGCACCTTAGTGTATTCCTTTGCTTTACTGCATACAGAAAGCTATCGCCATGTAACCCCCAGAGCTGGGGATATAAACAACTATCTTATATTTTAAATAGAGGGACATAAAGCTTCTCCTCACCCTTCTTCCTCCACCACGGTCCTTCTTGGATAGAGTACGACAGTTCCTTAAACACAATGTTCACAGCTGGTCTCCGCGGTAAGTAAGAGAAACGATGGGCTTCAGTCAGCATGTTGTCCACCTTTTTTATGTGCCCATTCAGGAGCCGCGCCTCTTGGCTATCCATGGCATTGGAGACCACCTCATCCACTGAAACGCACACTGACTTTGGCTCCATCACAGCAGAGGCAGAGTTGCTGGCATTCTAGAAAGCAGAAGGAAGAAACAGAAACAACTTTGACAAACTCTTCTTTGGAAACACATTTCACACTGTTTGCCCAAAGGAATTTTAAAATATTAATCCAGCACACTAGAACATAAAGAGAAATTCCCTGTGGTCCATGTCCTGCCTGTCTCTAGACAGGTATGTGAGGAGGGAGTATAGTGTAGTAGTGAAAAGAGGCCAGATTTCCCCACTTCTTTGCTACCTTTTGCTGCAACCACAAGACTCTTCTTCTGGCACCAGTTTGCCCATTGCCTATTCTTTAAGGCCACAAACAATACACTAAGACCTTAATGTTGCACTCAACTTCACAACAAACAAACACAACTTTCACTAAGTAATATGGAAATAAAAAATTTGTGTAAGTCAAAATGTCATTGCATAATTGCCTACTTAAAAGAGCATTATTTCTAAGTTTACAAATTTCTGGTGGTACTTCTGGGGAAGCACACACAACCGAGAATCCCACATCTGCCTATATAGCAGTCTATCAGGCAGAGAGAATACTTCCCACACAAAATTTGTCCTCTATCCTTCTGAGACAAGGCTCAAATGAAGATTGGCCTTGAGCAAAGAGGGATGTGTTCCATGCATTATATAAACGTGTAAAACAATTGGTCTAGATCTTGTTCTCCAACAAGGGTATTATAGGAAAGATGGTCACAGCTGCACTTCCACAATACACTGTCTATACAACCAGGTTCTACAAAGCTAATTTCAAGAAGAGGAAAGAGCAAACCGTTGACTACTCATTGACATTTTTCACTGTCGCTCAGAATGATACAGAGAGGCTCACACAGAATTGGGGCAATTTGCATTCATGTGACCTGAATGAGCAACAACCAGTGACATCAATGGGAACTGTAGGAGACCTCATGAAACTCCTCCCTCTCTCTCCCAATTACAATTAAGCAGAATTTTGGAAGGTTCAGAGGATCCCAATATCTAGCTACAAATACACAGCAAATTCCCCAGCACAGTTTCCATCCACATTCTAACTTTTGTTAATGTTACCCTGATTTGAAAAACATGTCTATGTTTGGCTAGGAGTGCATATCGGGATTTTCAAGGTATCTACATTGGCCCATCAACCTCAACGACTGTGAAAATATGAGCATAAGAGGGATGGCACCATACCAGTGTTCAAAGCAGTGATTCACTGCTCACTGAGAAGACGACCTCAAACAAAATGCTGTGGGTCATGCCACCATTTCCTCCACCCCCTCTTTCCTCCCTAGTACAGAAGTCACACTGCTTTCTTTTTTTTTCTCTGTCATGTTTTGGTGCTTTTCCCATTCATATTGAATGAATGGTGCTGTTCATTACCAGTCACCTGTGAGGAACCTTGATGAAGCAGTTTATAGATAAAGTCCAACCACCACCAGCTACTCATTCATTAGCTAATTTATTCAAGTTAAGAACATACAATCTGCAGTTTTGGAGATAATTCATTTCAGATTACCAAATGTCCTGCAGGGAGTGCTTTACTTATGCTCTCAATTAAGTAACAAGTTCAGGTATCCAAGAAAAACTTAACTGCTTAAACTGTATGACAATAACAACGTGCCATTTGAGCACGGTTATATGAAAGACCTCATAACTAAACTTATTAACTTGACTGTGCTTCCTTATTTAGCACAAAAATAAAAAGGAAACAGCATACCAACAACAGGCATTTCTATAAGTATCTTCCGGACATACCTTTTCACATGATCTATCTTTTTCAAGAGACTTGTTTTGAGTACCCACCGTGACACCCTTTTAAAAGGGGCTTGGATTACAAAAAGGGACAAACACTGCGATTCTCAAACTAACCATTCCTCCTCCTGCCCCCCTTAATCACTCCAAAAATTTTAGGCCCACCTCTTCTCCGGACACCTAAATCAGCTTATGAGCTGATACCCAGTATACGAAAATTCAAAAGCAAGTTGGGATATTTAATTATCCTTGAAGATGGCTGTGCATAGAGTTGGCTAATTGCAGGCATCATGCTCTCACATCTTCTAGGGGCTACTTTCTGTGAGCAAAGACCACTCATCTGAGTAAGGATTTGCAAGACTTTGAGCTGCAGAGCTATTTCAAATTTCCAAGAGAAATGGGCCTGATTGTCTTGGGGTCCAATGGCAGCAAATTCAAATGAGCCCTATATAAATCCATCATTTTGCATTAAGAAAGGACTGTGACTAAACTGAAATGTATTTGAACACCCACTGATGAAAGTAAGCAAGATAGGACATACACTTCAATTTGTGCCTATATGGCACAGCTATAGAGACCAAATATTCTCAAAGATTCTACTTACACCTTTCATCGCTTACTTTCACACTGGTTACTTCCCAGTGTCTCTTCTGAGGTTTTAATAGCTTGGTGTTGTACAAACAAGCAGAGCAAACACATTCCCGTTCAAAGCAGGAAAAAAAGATTACTGTCTCTCTCCTCCCAACCAACTTCATCCAAAACACCTCTCTTTTGTTCCGTTCTTTCATACTTACACCAAACGCTTTATATAATGAGCTGGAGAGGTTATATGTTCCTCGGCAAATCTGTTTTGAAGTCACAGGATGCAGTTGTGGGGAACAGAGCATGCTCAGAAAAAACCCGTCTAATCCCCTCTTATTAGCTCAAGGCAAGAGGTAACTATCGGTCAACCCCAGCTATGTGCAGCTGACTTCAAATCAGGGATGCTATGTATGAGCATAAAAAACCCCAACGCACCCACGACTCCAAGACAGCCTTTACTTGTGAAATGGCAACAACCAGGCTGCAAAGAATCACACCCCTCCCCCTAGAAACAGACACACACACACACACACACACACCTGCCCCCCCCGTAAATTGTTTATACCAATCCAAACCACAATGCACACTTGTGTGCTGAAGATGTGCTTTAAACACAAACCAAAAACCACAGCTACCCAGCTGCTTAAGACACACACACACACGTGTTTGCACACACCCAGGCACAGACACACGCACGCGTGTTCACACACATGCACATGCACACAGACGCATGTGCACAAGCGCCCGTGCACACACATGCAGACACACGTAGACATGAGTACATACACAGACGTACTCGCGTGCAAGACGCGCACACACAGGCAGACACGCTTAGACGCGCGTGCACACATGCATGCACACACCCACGCATACACGCATAGACATGCTCCGAGACACACGTGCACCCAGGCACACGCATGTACACACGCAGACACACACCCCCGTACAGGTGCGCGCGCGGACACACACGCACATATGCGGGCACGCACGCGCACATGCAGCCGCCCCCCGGCCCGGCCTCGCCTCACCAGCGCGCTGCCCAGGGAGAGCGCGGCCGCCAGACACGCCATGTGCCCGGGGCGGTGCAGCCAAGGAGCCGGCGGAAGACCAGGCGCCGCTCAGGGCTCCAGCCGCTCGCTTGCCTGGCCGGCGCCGCCCGCACCCCGCCTGATTGGCTGGGCGGCGGCGGGAGGCGGGCCTCGCCTCTCCGCTCAACGTGCACTTGTTTTCCTCCCGCCCCCAGGCCCCGCTGCTGCCCGCCCGGAGCCAGGCAGCTCCCCTCTCCCGCCTCCTCACCTGGGTTCAGGCCTGTCCCGCTCCCCTGCGCCTTTCCAGATCGTGCCTCTCGAGCCGGGCGGCAGATGCAGCCCCTCCCGAGGAGCCTGGAGCTGAACTAGCCCTTGGCTGCTTCTGGTGCTGGCCCTGGGTCTGGCAGGGAAGCAGCTGGTGTCAGCCGGAAAGGTTCAGCCCCTGCCCAGCTCTGGGGCAGTCAAAGCCTCCGGCTGCCGAAGTCGCTGCGGGGCTCCTCCTTTGTTGTTGTTTTCCTCAGGCTTAAAAGCTTCCGCGTAAAATGAGCCGGAGAGCAAGTGCAGTGCAGGCAGGGCTGTGAAGCCTAAGGGCCTTTCTTTTACCACTCAGTTATAACACCTGAGATACGCCGCATTGCTCTGCCGGTGCCACCAGCCAAACAGGAGATGGGCATAACCACCTTTGTGTGCACACCACAAAAGGCTCATAAGAACTTGCCCTTTACTGAGTCAGACCATAGGTCCTTCTTGCCTGTCACACGGGCAGAGCAGGGATGCTGAAAGGGAGAGTGAATTGGGTATGACCGGGGGTTGGTTGTAGCTGTGTTGGTCTAAGGACAAGGTTCTTTGGGTAAACCTGATATCTTTTATTAGACCTACTCAAATAGGTGGAAAAATTCTTTGCAAGCTTTCGGGTACAAACACCCTTTGTCAGGCTGCAGAGGCGTCTGCAGTTGGTGCGTGCTCTTCCTGGGTGGAATGAATAATAAAGAAGCCAGAGGCAGGGATGCATGCAAGAGAGGCAGTATGACCAGGGTTTTTGCCACTGTTCCTCTCTCACTTGCAGCTACTGATGCCCCTTTCCTTCAAGCATTTGTCCAATCCCTTTTTGAACTGGCTAAACTGTCAGTTCCCACAACATCTGGTAGCAATGAGTTCCACACTTCAATTCCCCGCTGTGGGAAAAAGGACTTCCTTTTGTGAGTTTTAGACTTGCTGCCTACTTGTTTCTTTTTATGACCCCTTAGTTCTTGTATTGTGCGAGTGAGTAAATAATAAATCCCTACCTACTTTTTCTTCATCATTTACTCAGGCACTGCCTAAGGTTTAGAAGGCGAGGTTCACAAAGCAATGTGGCACATCCCACTCTGACACAATCATGTGGTATAAACTTCTCCTAAGACTGTCCACCCCAGGGGTCAGGACTGGACACAGGCATGGGTGGGGCCAAAAATGGGTGGGACTGAACAGAAAGAGTGCTCAAAAATGGTATCTTTTTGTCTGTTGTCCAATTATTATTATCATCATTAGCTGAGGCGAAGGGGTGCCTGATACTAAAAAGTCAACCAGGGCTATCAGGAGTGTAGGTACGGTGCTGCCAGGAGTTACTGCAGAGGAGTTTGTGAGTTGTAAATTCTCAGCTTAGCTTACTGAGCACTATATGCAGTATGCCAGCCTTTAGGCCCTTATTCAACATAAAGCAAGTGAACAGGGCTGAAACCTGGGGATCCTTTATTCTGAGCCCTGCTTTCATATTGCATCTCTCTGAGGTCTTGATGACACTAGAGAAACTGAGTGGAGTCATCACTTTAGCAAAGCTGAAGATCTTGACCCTGTGCCAGATCTAGATATGCCTATATACCCTTTGGGTCTGGCTCCTATTTTATGCTAAGGTCCCTTTATACTTCTCTGGAAATGTAAGACAGCCTTAAAGGGTACATAAGTGATTGCCAGAGTGGTATAATTCATGTCAGTGAGAATCAGACCCAAAATGTCTACGAAGCATTTTATAATGAAGTTCATAATCTCCTAAGAGAAGTATGAAATCTTCTAAGAGGAAGCTTGTCATAAGACCTAGACCTTATGCAGGGCTGCACAGACATGAAGGTAATCTCCACAAAGCCCCTGGGAGGTAATATCCTGTTTTTAGCAATCAGGAGTTTCAGGGCAAAATCAACCTGGTCCCTTAGACACTTCAAACTTAGGCTTCAGCATGCTTAAAAATGAGATGCCTGAACCCAAGACAGTGATTGCATCTGGTCAGCTAGAACAGGGACAGACACAGGCATGGGCAAACCAGGTGTTCACCCAGAGCCCAGACAGAAAGGGGGCCCGAAAATGGTAATTTTTTGTTTATTATTATCATTATTTCTAAACAGGGGCCTGATACTAAAAGTTCACCCGGGACCACCAGGAGTTTATTGTGCTGACCTAGAATCATAGACAGGTAGAGCTGGAAGGGGCCTAAGGAGGTCATCTAGTCCAGGGATATCAAACTCATCAGCTCCACAGGACCAGATGAGTGGTGCAGGGCTGGTCCACAGGCTGAATGAATGGTGTATGGCAGGCCCCCGCAGGCAGGATCAGGCCCACAGAGCTGCCCCCTGCATGCTGGATCCAGCACATATTGCACTTGCTCTGGCTGATCTGGGACTATGCTGCAAATGCAGGGCCAGCCCTGGGGGGGGCGCGAATCAGGGCAACCACCCCAGGCCCTGGACTCTGGGGGGCCCTGCAAAGCCATGCAGAGCGGCCATGGCAACTGCATGCTGCCACTGGCACCCCTGCCACTGAATCGGCTGCAGAATCTGGCGTGTCCAGTCACTCATACTGCCTGCTGAGGATTATATCTAGCCTTTATCTAATGACTTAAAAATGTAAAATGCAGAGGTTGTCCTGGCATCAGTGCCCCATTCTCCTCTTTCCCAATCAAGCACTGTAAGCACAAGGATGTAGAGTCAGGCTCTCTTTTGCTGTTTTCCTTCTGGCCCCATTACTCTTGTAATCTTGGCTGGGCCATGGCCCAGCCTCAGCAGAAGGGGTGCTTTTTTTCATTTTCAGACTCCTAAAAAAAAATCGAATGGAGGTGCAGACCCCTTTGGAAATTTCAAATGGAGGTACAGATGCCTTTGAATTCTAGGTGTGGGTATTCACATACTTTTTGTTGATCGTAGTCATCTTTCACAGAGCCTCTTAGACATAGTCTGTGAACCCCCAGGGTCTGAGAACCACAGGCTGAAAACCACTGGGGTAGCCTACCCTGGCACCTACTTTACCTGTATGACTTTAAGTGCTTTACCGATGGCCACACAGCAAGGCAGTCCTGGAAACAGGATTAGAACATTTGAGTCTCTAGCTCCCAGTCTTGGATTAAGTCAGGGGTGGGCAAAATGCAGCCTGCGGGCTGGATGCAGCCTGCCAGGCCATTCCATCTGGCCCACAGGGCCCCTAAAAAAATTAGAAAATTAATATTTATCTGCACCTGGCTGCCTGTCATGTGGCCCTTGATGGCTTGCCAAAACTCAGTAAGTGGCCCTCTGCCTGAAAAAATTGCCCACCCCTGCATTAAGTCCTATATAGACATCACTCCGTTTGGTTCTAGCACACTAAAAACAGGAAATCCCTGTCTACACCAGACTACCAAACAAACTCTGTACCTACTACAAAAAACTACAAACTTGAACAAGGTTTGAGCGAGGATATCATATGTGATCCAACCTGGATACCTGACACATGGAGGATATGGAATTTTAGCTGATTTTTTAAATGAAATCTTCATAATTTTACAAGGAGGAAGCAAGCTTAACCACCTGAAACTTGAGACCCTGCTCCTGCTTTTTTTTTTGAGGTAATTTGCATTATCACAGAGCCTCATCACAGAGCTCAGAGACACCTCACTACATAAGAAAAGCCGGCCCAGAAGAGCCTTCTATCTTTTTACTCCTCTGTGAAATATGAGACATCACAACCAGAAGGAGATACGACTACATCCTCCTTACCACCAAACAACTTTGAAGTAAACCGACTATTCCAACTTTTCTCTGAGCCTAATCTGTATATAAAATGAGCTGTTCCAAACAGGAGATTTTACCACCTTCAATTCTTCTATGAAATATGAACTTTCATTTCTACCCAGGAGAACTTTTACAATCTTTTCTCCTATGCCTGAAGAAGGGTGCTTATGCCTGAAAGCTTGCAATTAAAGAATTTTTTTTTCAAAAGTCTTGTTGGTCTAATAAAAGATATCACCTCACCTCGAGTTCTGATTCCATGATCCTAGTCATTTAAGAGCAGTTTTCCGCACTGTTCTAGTTATGTTTTCCGCTGTATACATTTTTGAATCAATGGTCAGATAGTCTACTGAAAGTCATTTAAAATGCCAGTTTTCAAGTAACAGCAAGTAGCAAGAAAGGGGAAGAGACATTACTGATGATTACACAGGATGTTACAACTAGTAGACTGACTACGTGGTGGGCGTCGTCTGGAAGGCCTTTGACACTGTCTCTCAGCCCATTCTCATTAAAAAACTAGGCATTGATGCCTACACAGTCAGATGGGTTGCAAATTGACTAGAGGGCCGTACCCAGAGAGTGGTGGTGGATGGGTCAATTTCGACCTGGAGGGATGTGGGCAGTGGAGTCCCCCAGGGCTCGGTCCTCAGGCCCGCACTGTTCAACATCTTCATCAGTGACTTGGATGAGGGGGTGAAAAGCACCTTGTTCAAATTCACGGAAGACACTAAGATGTGGGGAGAGGTGGGCACGCTAGAAGGGAGGGACAGGTTACAACTAGATCTCGACAGATTA